TTCCGCTGTGACGTTCAACAAATATGACATTCAATACAACCCCAAATTTCACCGACTTCGCTGCCAAGGTCATATTATCGAGCGAGCCGCTAAGTCCTTCCTCTTCGTTGCTAACAACGAGAAGCTCGAGCACGACGATTCCGGTCTGAAAAATGTGACATTAAAACAGATTGAGGCATGGCGGGCCTGCATCGGCGTCAGCCGAGTGCACTTCAACGGCCCAGCCCGTTACAAATACTCTAAGCTCTCTTCATTAACAAGAATAATGATTTTGTGAAGAAGGCTAGTTAACAATGAATCTCATAACGTAACATGTGTGTTACACGGTGACTTTCAATAATACCAATAAACTTGCCTCCTTGTTTACGGTACACGGTTCCATAACTGTTCTATTACATGATCATGCTGACCAAACAGGCAATACAGTTTAACTTTATTTTAGGTCACAGCTCAAGGATGGATGTTTGAACGACAGTCGTGCCCAACATTGTGGACCCATGATGATGCAGACCCAATCGCCAATAGAGTTGAACCATATTTTAGGCCGTAGCTCGAGAGTAAATGACAGAACGGTTGTCATGTCTGATGCTATGGAGCGTGGACACAAAATTATATCAACCAGTCATCTGCATGGAGTTTCAAATATACATCACAGAAAATTTTAGCAAGTCAGACGATTCATGTTGGCGGTACCGTCCAGAAACAGGGTGAAAACGCCTCGACATAGTGGCTCGATTGTGGAGAGCATATATGCCAGGGATCGTTCACATACTGTCGCGTTGCGCGGTTTTTTAAATCCTGTATTTCTGTCTTCTTGTTCTCTCTCAAAATACATGACAAATTCCCCTCTTTTATAATTAGAAAAACCTCGGTTACCCGAGTCAACGGCTTTATCCGATACATACATGGTTGCAGCTTGGCGTTAATGCGCTTACGCCGCTTAGGTAGACGAGCAATAACTGTGTGTGAGATTTCACGATGTCGCACTTAATTTAGTACCGGGGTTATGGTCCGTTACTGAGGTCAAAAATGATGATTGTATTCATTAATGCTTGTATCTTCTGTGTGTTCTTGTCGGGCCGGGAGACAAAGTCTCCCCTGCGAGGTTCCAGCGCCACACGCCACTATTACTATAACGTATGTGCATAGCGAGTGGAACACCCCACCACCCAAATAGTACCATCCTTCTTCTGTTGAGTCAAACAGAGCAAATTATAGGTCTACTGAATTCCTTCTAGTAGCACTAATAATAGCCTATATTCTATGCGACATCTTCAACCACATATTGCACCAAAAGTTATGGAATCCTTAAACAAGGAGAGTCAAATGATCTTGGCTCTTCAGGCTATACAAAAGGCCAAAATCTTAGTGCACGAGCTGCTGCAAGGACATATCATGTAATCCTCACTACGCTAACGCGCAGACTAAAGGGAATTGCATCTGTCGGATAATGCCTCTGTAGACTGAAGTCGCAGAGCTTGGTGTAATGACTGGTTGTCATAGCGTCGGCTATCATGACTAAACTTAGCCGAAAGTTAAATTCGGACGAAAGGAAGTTTCTTTGGTATTGAAAAGAGAGCTGCAGACGGAGTCTGTAGCACTCGCAACAACAAGAATAATGATTTTATCAAGAAGCTTAGTCAACATGAGTCTCATAACGTGACAGTTAGTGTCTCGACCTCAATTTTCACCAAGCCCCCACCTGTCGGACATCGCTGACAAGACCGAAAACCCACGCCAGCACTGGGCTATCCAATTGATCCTTGGAACAGGCTTGCGCTCTATAATCAGCTGCTGTTTCGAGATTTTCATTCTCGTGGTAATGATGTTTGTTGTTGTCGTGCTGACAGAAGCAACTCCTTGTTTAGGCGTGCAAAGAACTAGAGATCACGTGGGTCCTGTTTGGGAGACTTAGCACCCCTGCTGCTCTAACCGGAAAAACACACTTGCCGGGATACGGGGAATATGCAGGCCAGCGCCCATGCACCTGTTGTCTCAACTAGATACAACCAACCACTTTCACTTGC